TCTGGCTTTCTCCATAATCCAGCACATGCTAGCAATTTGGTCTCTAGTTCCTCTGATCATTCGAAATCCAGCTTGTACTTCTGGGAGTTCTCGGTCCACATACTGCTGAAGCCTACCTTGGAGGATTTTGAGCATAAGCTTGCTAGCATGTGAAATGAGTGCAATTGTACGGTTGTTGGAGCCTTCTTTGGCACTGCCCTTCTTTGGGACTGGGATGTCGACTAATCTTTTCGAGTCCTCTGGCCACTGCTGAGTTTTCCAAACTTGCTGGCATATTGAGTACAGCACCTTAACAGTGTCAGCTTTTAAGATTTTAAATAGTTCAACTGGAATGCCATCATCTCCACTGGCCTTGTTGTTAGACAAGCTTTCTAAGGCCTTGACTTCACTCTCCAGGATGTCTGGCTCAAGGTCAGCAACCACACTATCTGGATTGTCAGAGACATCCAGATCTTTCTGGTAGAATTCCTCTGTGTATTCTTGCCACCTCTTCTTGATGTCTTCTGCTTCTGTGAGGTCCCTACCATTTTTGTCCTTTATCATGTCCATCTTTGCACAAAATATTCCTTTAATATCTACAATTTTCCTGAACAGATCTCTGGTTTTTCCTTTTCTATTATTTTCCTCTATTTCTTTGCATTGTTCATTTAAGAATTCTGCTTTAGTTCCCATCTGAATTAGCCCACCATATATTGCTGCCCAGTATGGTGTAGTGGATAGAATGACAGACAAGGACTCTGGAGACAAGGGTTCAAATCCTCACTTGGCCATGGAAATGCAATTGGGGAGTGGAAGTGGTAAAAACACTCCTTAAATATATCATTTACCTTGAAAGCCCTATTAGGGTCTCTGTGAGTTGATTCTGACTTGATAGCACATAACTAACTAAAGGCAAAGGAGAGAATGGTGCCTTTGGCCATTTTCTTTGGGTACAGAAGTCAGGTGGGCTTTCTCCACATATGAGGGCAGCCAAGTAATTTAAACTTGGTGCAAGAAGCAACGTGCGGCATAGATAGCTATGAGGTTCAATGGGCATAGAATACATAATTGGGCTTAGAGTTTGGAAATTCTGATTTTTATAAAATATAATTGCCAGAATCCCATAACTTGTATGAACCTGTTCTAAGCTTGGGACAGAACTGCTGCCAACACTCCTCCCAGCATCATCTACCTCAGATAGCTGCCTCGCCCTTCCTAGCTGAAGGGCCACCCCCCGGCTCCATACTTTTCCAGATCCAATTACATCAGATGAGATGATACAATAGCTTCAAGCCTCTCTTTTTTTCTTTTTTTTTCTTTTTGCTCTGGCATTTAATTAGTGTGTGTTCATGAATACATCTACAGATCTCTTGTCTTCATGCTCTGTCTAGTATATAACAGGAAACTATAGATTTTTTTTTAAAAAAAGGTCACACACTGAAAATTAGCAGACTGTGCATGTGTAGAGATGTATGCAAAAGTTACAAATAACACACAAAAATCTAAGTTTCCTTAGAGGGAGTTGTGTTAATACACTGCAGCAAAAATGGAAAAAGAAGTGCTGTTTAAGAGTAACACTTTTTTCAGTGCAGGCTGAGAATGGATTGCAGTCTACAAAGTTCATATTGAAATAAATATGTTAAACTTAACATTGCCATAATGCCTTTGGTTTTTAGGGGGTTTTATGCAGCCTCTGTGCTGCAAAGGTCAGAAGACCAGCAGTTGTAAGATTGAATCCACACAATGGAGTGAGCTCCCGTCACCTGTCGCAGGTCCTGCCAACCTAGCAATTCGAAAGCATGTAAATGCAAGTAGATAAATAGGTACCACGGTGATAGGAAGCTAACGGTATTCCGTGTCTAGTCACGCTGGCCACGTGACCATGAAAACTGTCTATGGACAAACGCTGGCTCTACGGCTTGGAGATGGAGATGAGCACTGCACCCCAGAGTCGGACACAACTGGACTAAATGTCAAGGGGAACCTATACCTTTACTTTACATATAAGGAGAGAAATAAGAGCAAATAATTTGAAACTCTAAAATGGAGGAGGAATATCAGATGAAGAGATTTCAGTAAGCATCTCTACTATTTAATGTTTAATTATTCTAATTTTTCAGCACGGGCGTTGTAGTGACATGTGGTTTTAATCAAGGGGCTTAAAATTCACAGATGCTTTCTGTACACAAGAAATAAAATATATATATTTAGACACAAGCACTATAAAACTGCTAACAGTATCAAGTAGGGCATAATTTACTATCCTATTTGCCTATGTAAAAGCAATTCTATTTGCATAAAGATGCTTGCACACTTTATATGATTAATTTTAAATAATAATATGTAGAGAGACCTTTCAGGGCCAGACTTTGTGGAAAGTCTCTGTCCCATTTTGCTAAAATATTCCAGTTTTGCTACAAAAATGCTACCTACTTCAGAATGTAGTTAGTTTAATTAATGCAGTTAATCACCTAGTCAGATTAATAACTTCAGAATGACATAAGAGGAAGAAGCTCAAATGAGCATCTTCACACATTATATAATTCAGCTACCATTCGGTATGTTCCTTCATTTGACTGTGTGGGTTCTGTAGTTTCAGAATTGGTGATTTTAAATTTGTGAATCTCTGTGTAACAAACATGTACAAATATTTATCATATGGCTTAGCTACAGCTAATGGATTTTGTGATATGTTTTGGGTCAAAACTGGAAGCATGTGCAAAGTTTATGTTCCTCTATACCTTGCAGGATAGTCTCTGGGGGACTCTCATTGGCTTGTAATTTCTTCAGAAAATTATTAATGTCCATAAGTAAATTCAATTATTGGTCATCTCTAAGAATTGAATCTGTATAAGCTACCAGATAGTCCCCAACTGTGGTGGTGCTGACGCCTCAAACCCAGAGTTGGAAATAACTAGTAAAAGTAACACAATTACATGTCACTGTGTAACAAATAACAAATAGCTGCAAAGTTACATTAGAAATAACATCAGTTGCAGTTATTTCGTAGGTATAATAAGCAATTTTTTTCCAGTAACTTTCAGAAGTCACTGTTTAAAGAACAGTTAAGCTATTTGGAGTATGACTGAACAGGGTTGCCCCCAGTAAATTTAGGTTAATTTGATGTTTTCTATGGCTGTTAAATTGCAACGGTCATTCACATGGGCTATCTAATTATCCCAAGCAAGATAGAGTGCAAGCATACACAGACTCCACACCACAACTCAAATTGCTTCAATTCTCACCAGGATCACAGACTGCCCACTCTCTTCTGTTATCTTCCCTACCTATTAAAGTGTTTTGTTCACAAATGACATATTGCTGATCAGTATAACAACTTGTGACACTGCAGTGCTTAACTGACATGGTACTAAATTCAAAAAACATAATAAAATTGTTTGGAAGAAGGACAAGAGGTGCTCATAGTGTGCCAGTACAGTGGGAATATCCCCCTCAAGTGACTGTCTCTAGTTTCTGAACAATTTTTAATGCCTTTTCTATTTTGTGCTAGTGCAGTTTTGCAAGTTGTTATATTAGCTTAGTACTAGGTTAGATGCCAAAAAACACCTAACCATCAACATCATCCTAAACCTTGTGGCGCAGTGGTTAAACTGCTGTACTGCAACTAAAACTGTGCTCACAACCTGGGGTTCAATCCCAGGTAGCCGGCTCAAGGTTGACTCAGCCTTCTATCCTTCCGAGGTTGGTAAAATGAGTACCCATCTCAATGGGGGGGGGCAATGTGTAGCCTGCATAATTAACTTGTAAACTGCCCAGAGAGTGCTTGAAGCGCTATGGGGCAGTATATAAGCAGTACACTTTGCTTTGCTAAGCCATATCTGTCTCTGCCCTTTGGACCAATATAGGCAATCACACATTCCAGGAACCTTCCCCCACCCAAAAAAAGGGCTGTGAGTGGAATCACTTTAAAAAGACATGAGACCCTGCCAGCTGAACAAAAAACCAATAAATGCCCATGGGCAAAGAGTGGGCTTACTAACAATTAGCTCTGCATTGCACAGTTGCTGAAAAATACATTGCTGAAAAATACATTGAATTTAACTATAACAACTCCGGCACAAAAGCATGGAGTAAATTGCAGTGTAGTTGCAACATATGAGAAGGGCAGGATCATAGATGCCCCTGTTGACTCCAACTCAGAGTCTCTTGCCCCATGCCCCACAATATCTCCCAAGGTGTCCTACCATTCTGAGCAGGGAAAAGGCAGCACCAAGACCCAACCATCTGGTGAGAATATGACCCAGACTGAGGCCTTCATAGCAGTATCCACTCTCAGGATTGGGAGATGACCCCCCCCAGGAGAAAGGAAGGAACTGGTCTCCCCCTGGTGAATGGCAGCTATAAAAGCTGCCTTGCCATCAGTAGAGGCAAAACCCAACTAGGAAAGAGGGTGGCTGTGAAACAGAAGAAATGAAGGAACAGCAACCAGAGGCACCTGGAGAATAAGTGAAGGACATGGTGGGACAACCTGAGGTAAAGGAGCCAGAGTCCATCTGGGAAGAAGAGAAAGATCATTGTAAAGGAGCTTGGAGGGACACCCAGGAGAAGTGATCAGAGACACTCTAGGCAGAACACTCCATAGAAGAGGAACCAGGTCCCTCAGGAGAGTGATGCTACATTTATAAACAGACAGACATCTGTCAGATCTACTTTGATTTGGATTCCTGTACTAAACATGAGATTGGACTTGATGGTTTTATAGGTCCCTTCCAACTCCATTATTCTATGATTCTGTGATAAGGGAAACCCCTGGAGTGGGGTTTGGTTTTACTCCAGGTTGTCAAGAGAGAAGGGGATAGGCATGCAAACTCCAAACTCTCTCCTCAGCCATCCTACTGGGGAGACAGAAAGAGAAGGACTGAAGTAAGATCTGGGAACCTTAAGCCGACCCAGAGCCAATGCTGGCGGAGGAAGCGTCAGCATTGGGAAGAGTAGTTGGGCAGTTGCCCAGGAAGCCATGGCAGCTGCAGTTCTCTGGAGAGAGGATCCCCACATACGTACCCTTATTGTGGGCATACCAGCCCTCACTCTTAGGAGCAACACAAGGGTGGAGGAGCCCTGACTCCAGATCCACAGGAACTGGACTCGTTATGAGACTAGGCTCACAGGCATACATAAACTTCTCCTGGTGAAGAGAACCAAGGTACAAGATACAAAGAACATAGACTGTGGGCTAAGGAATGTAGCTAGGACCAAAGACTCTGATAAAGTTATTTATTCCTTAGATTATTCCCCCATCAAAGTTACAAGAAATTCCATTGTTTGGTCATTCATGTTGTGGACCAAAGAATGGAAGAGGGATGCCCCACTGAACCAGACAGGGTTGTGGGGAGGGGACTCACACAACCATAGTGGCATTTTAACAGGGGGTTTCCAAGTTCTAGTCATTGTTTTATTAATCTCAAATGGCGAGGGAAGTTTTCTTAGTTTTGTCTTTTGTCTTTCAAAAAATATTTTCAATAAGTAATATCAAAATTGGTCATTGGAGGGCTCCAGAGAGTGTTTTCCTTGATCTTTTTGGCCAGCTGGCACTATCGTGCAACTGTAATGTGCCAAATTGCCTGTCTGATTGGAGCAACAATAATGATAACAGCAGCCTGGCTGCCCAGAAGTAATGGGAGCAAAATGAGTAACTTTTAAAAAATAAAATAACTTGTAAAAAAAGAAAGGACCTTTAAAAAAATACCATTGTAAGGTTTGCCTGTAAGTACACCATATGCCGCACTGCACATTTTGTGTAGCAAACAAAAGCTGCTTAAGGCTCCTGTGGGCATCCGTGGGATGGGTGTTGCATATCTGATTGTGTAAACCTTCAAAATATTTCATAATGAAATCTGATTAGAGAGTCTATAAAAGGTGCTGGAGAGTTGTTCTCATCCTCCTGTACATATGTATGTGTTTAATTTATATCCCATCATTCTCCCAGTACTTGGACACAAGGTGGCTCACAACATGATTGAAATGCAAAGCTTATAGTCCAAGGCACTTATGGCAACAACAACAACAACAACAGCTCCTCCTTTGTCACACTCTGTCATCATGAATTCACTGTCAGTTCTGAAGCTGTGGGTGATGTCACATTCTGCACAGCTGAGACTGTGGGATAAACAAACATGCTATTTGGTGATTATCTGAGAATGGATTCAGCAATGGAAATATCTGAGTATTAGAAGAGCTTTATGTATTTGCAAAACATGCTCAGTCCCACTTGTTATCAAAGGTTGGCAACTTCGGATTGGAATGACTCTTGCCTATCGCTACTCTTCCCTTTGAACATAATCAGTTCGGGCTATGCAATTTGTTGAACTTTTCCAACTATGTTGTACTAAAACATAGGACATAATAAATCTTAGACCGTGATGGATTACTAATCTTTTAAAAAATGATCAAGTGCTGCAAAACCTTGCGGTGCCAGTTCTCAAAGCAGTTGTCTGATGGTCATTACACATTTCTTAGAGATGGGTTCATATTCACTGTTGAGGATAGTCTTCACACTCCATCTTCAGGTCAGCATGTTTACGAAGTGTCGGTGTTCTATAGTGATTGGGATTGCCAGCCTTTCCCCTTACTATTCTGATCGGCAGTCCTCATCACCACAGAACCATGTTGATAACAAGTGGGAGTGAGCATGTTTTGCAAATACATAAAGCTCTTCTAATACTCAAATCTTAGCAGTCAGTAGTGTTCCCATTTATGCTGTTTGCAGTAATTCTGGATTCTTTGTGTTTGTGCATACATATTCAATTGTGTTTCTTTCTTTTTTTTCTTTATGATTATGTAGCATTTTTTTCATGCTGTGCAAAACTGCCCTATCTTTATTTCTGCACATCTAGCTGTTGTGAAAGTTAGAACATTGTAGGACATGTAGAACATTGTAGATTAGGAGCAAAAAAAGGGGGGAAGTGCATGGATTTAAAATGAGGCATCATGATCAGCTGTAAAAACAGTGCTTGGAAAAGGTCCTTGTTTTGACCTCAACTCCTAGTATCTCCCAGCCAGCACCACTATTGGCTATGAAACTTGCTGTCTCAAAAAAGGAACTTTGCCAAGCACTGCTAAAAGACAGAGTTCAGTCAGGACTGAATTAGAACAGTCATTTCTGACAGTTTGATTCTTTTTTTCCTTCTCCGTGTCTCCTTTGAAAGAGCGTTGTGACCTTTTACAAAAGTTAATAGCACTTCATGCTGATCTTCAAGAAATATGCCATGTACCAGAACCACAGATAAGTCAGCTGATCATCAGGCACTTTTATGCTCTCATGTTAAATTCAGATGATCCAGAACATGGGTCTAAAAGTCACACATGAAACTACTTCATTTCTTCTTTTTGCTTTTTATTTTAATCCAAAAAGAGCTTGGAAATGGGTGTGTGAGTCAATGTGTAGAATTTCCAGTTATGAAACTATAAAAGAATTCTTGACGGCAAGTCAGGGCACCGAATGAAGAACAATGTAGATCCTTGAACATCCTCACACCAGCCAAGCTGTACTTCATGCTGAAGAAAACATCCACCAGGTAACACAGGTGATTTGGCTAAAATTGGCTACTGCTGGCAGTTAAACTAAATTTTAATCCCAGATGGAGGCTTCCCATACTACAGTATTATCTTGTTTCCCCATGTCAAATGGAAACTCTCAAAAGGCCACAAATGGGAGGGCAGGGGCTTGGGGGTCCTTTGTTTAAAAAATAGGGTGATAAATAAAAACTGCTGCCTGAGCAGGGGTTTGAAACCACACCCTCCCCCCCACACATACGTCTTTTGCTGACTGCATCTGTACCCATATCAAGAAACTACTCTGGCTCCAACAATGGCTGGGAAACTTTGGGAGTCCAATATATAATTTTTTGGAACTATTATTATATTTTATTATATTTAAAATATTTTTGTCCCACCTTTCTCCATGAAGAGGACCCAACGTGGCTTACAACAGTGAAAGACAACATTTAAATGGTTGTTGTAGGTTTTTTGGGCTGTTTGGCCGTGTTCTGGAGATTTTTCTTTCAAACGTTTCACCATTCTCTGTGGCCGACAACTTCAGAGGACAGGAGTTAGAACTCTGTCTGTGTTCTGGTGCAGTGTGTGGGATAGTTGAGTATTTGTAGCTGTGGGATCAACTTTTTGAATGGACGTAGCTGGCACAGTAGGTTTAATTACGCAAATGCATTCCTGGCTACCGCTTGAGGCCTGGGCATCCAGGCTCACAGCTACCTACAAGATCTTCGTGCAGAGCCTGAGGAAGTTGAATTATCATCAAAAGCAAGCTATTGTTTGCTTGATTGTTTTTTAAAGTGGTCTAAATAAAGGATCTGTCCTCTTATGCAACCTCTCAGTATAACGGATTCATACCAAATATTCTGAAGTAGCAGAAATACCTTTTGAGCCATTTCTCAAGTCATGCCCATTCTATGCTCATCCCTTTGATTTGCAGCAGTTATAAATATCACGATGCATTTGAAATTGCACACTGTTGTTTATCCATTTTCCTATTTACATTGCAAACTCTTCTGGTGAGAAATCCAAAGAATAAATATCATGATTCATTGTAATTTTTAGTAATCATTTTCTGCTATTGCTGGAAGAGATCTTTTTAATCTTCTGATTTCTTTTGCATCTGTCTCTAGAAAAAGAAAGTTGCTTTGCTGTTTCCCGCAAGATCACTAGGTGGCACATGGCTCTTTGAATAGTTTGCTTGAAAGTGAAATCTAAGAAGAACTGATGGATAGGCTCATCTGATCATTCAGTAAAAATGCTACTGGCAAAATATAGGTGATTCAGGAGCTAAAAGGCACATTTAAATATCTGTACTCTTTTTAAAAAAGAAAAATTAGGAAAATATCTGCATTATTTTACCCAATAATGTAATAACATTATGTACCTTTTAAAAAAACTATAGGAATTTCTTGCAATCCTCTGTGTTTCCCTCTGTCCCCTAAATTATCTATATTTCTTTGTTTTGTTTAAATCTTTTTTTAAAATTTAAAGAGAGGAAGTTATATTTTTGTTCTCATTGTTTAGTCGTTAAGTCATGTCCGACTCTTCATAACCCCATGGACCAGAGCACGCCAGTCCCTCCTGTCTTCCAC